AAATCTTTAAAAATACTTAAATTTGTATGTGACCTTAGATGTGAATGCGTATACAGAGTAAGGGAAGGATTCTTATCTTATTTTCTGATGGGATGGCCAACCCTCTCAACGGTATTTAATAGCAGTTCATTCCTACCCCACTGACATGCATTGCCAGCCGGTCATCTTCACATGTCTACGTACAGATTCTTCTCTTTATTCACCCATTTGCTCTGAAATAACATCATACTTAGTCGCATTGCTTTATAATGACTTTATCTGATAAGTGGTTTCTTATTTAGTTCTTCATAAATCTCACATTTGGATACAAAGTTGACATTTATTTCCAATTACCTACATACTAACCTTTTTAAACTGTTCTTCACTTATGGCTATATTTTTATTATTCTGTCTGAGATTATTTAATATATAGCTGAAATTTTCTCTTCAGTATTTGTATTGCACATGTATTCTGATTTCCAGTTCTTTAGTTTTTATATATAGTATTTGTTTTGCCTTTACTTTTGAATAACATTTTTGCTGAATATGGAACTTTAGGTATTTCCATATCTTAAACATTTTTATTTTCAATTTTTATTTATTATAAGTGTGTACATATGATAAAGAGGAGAGAGAGAGAGAGAGAGAGAAAGAAAGTACATATGCATGTGCCACAACAAACATGTGGAGGTCAGCTCTCTCCTTCCACCATGCATGCCACGGACGGAGCTCAGCTCATCATCTGTGTGGCAAATGAGTCATCCTGTGACTCATACTATTCTATTTTCTTCTGGCTTTCATTCTGTGGACTCATCAGACATTTGTATTACTGTTGTTTATTTGAAAATCATGTGTAGTTCTGGCTAATTTATTTTCTTGATTTTATGATTTTGTTTTTATGTGTATGAGTGTTTTGCATACAAGCATGTTAAGGGCATTCATGTCATGCAATGCACACAGAAGCTAGAAGAGGGCAGATCCCCTGGAACCGAAGCTACAGATGGTTGTTAGCTGCCATGTGGGTGCTGGGAACTGAACCTGGGTTCTCTGCAAGGACAGCCAGTGCTCTTAACAATGAACCATCTCTCCAGCTCCTTCATTTCATTAATTTATTTATTTATTGTGTGTGTGTGTGTGTGTGTGTGTGTGTGTGTTTCTGTGCATGCATATGCACATGTGGATCAAGCTCAGGCTATCCAGGTCAGCAGCAAATGCCTTTACCCACAAAGCCATCAGTTGCCAGCCACAGTCTGTTAAAGATTCAAATTCTTGCTGATATTCTTTTTCTTTCTCTTTCTTTTCTTCTTTCTTTCTCTCTCTCTCCTTTCATTTCTTTCTTTTTCTTTTTTTGATTTTATGTGTTTTGTCTGCATGTAAGTATACCATGTGCATGCAATGCTTTCAGAAGCCAGAAGAGGGTGTTGGATACCCTGGAACTGAAGTTATGGATGGTTGTTGACCACCATGTGAGTGCTGAGAACCAAACCCAGGTCCTCTGCAAGAGTAGCCAGTAGCCAGTGCCCTTAACCACTGAGCTATCCCTCCAGTCCCTGAAATTCTTTTTCTTAGAAACGTGTTTTTCTAAATGGTAAATTCAATAATTAGATCCCTGTAGGTTTTCTTTTTTCCCTCTCATCTTGATTCTTTTCCATTCTTTTACTCCTCTGGCTTGTCAGGTTTTTTGTTTGTTTGTTTTTTGTTATTTTGAGACAGGGTCTCCCTGTAGCCCCAGCTGTCCTGGAACTCGATATGTAGACCAGGCTGGCCTTAAACTCACATAGACCCACCTGCCTCTGCCTCCTGAGTGCTGGGATTAAAGGTGTGCACTACCATGCCTGGCCCAGGTAATTTTTTTTAAATCAGATGTCAGATGCTGCATACAAAAATTTGAAGAAAAATAGAATCAGAGATTCTGAATAATGTTTTGTTTCTCCACAAAGGGTTCATTCACTTTTGCAAGTAGCAAAATTAGAGATGGTATCAGATCATCTTAATGCCATTTTGGAATGAACTCATTTGAATCTGTCTCTCCTATAAGAACTGGACTGTTGTGGTCAGCTCATTAGCCTGGGGAGCAGCCCTTCAAAACTCCAGGAGACAGCAGGGATTAGTTACCACCGCATTCTTCTGAGGAGCCTGAATTCTATCTTTATGTCTTAGCCCCACAACACTGTCAAAAGCTTTACTTCTCTGTGTTACTTCAACTGTCTGAATATCCATTTAGGCTTTTGTTTGTAAGTTAGGAAGAGCTCATTCCCTCATTGCTTTAGCACCTATCTCACGCCACAGGGAGGGAGGGGAGGTCTGTCTTTTATCCAGTTTTTAGAACCATTCTTAACAATCCATTTTTAAAAACCTAGATTTATATAGCTAGGCTTTCCCATGTACATTTTAAAGTCACAGGTGGAAAAGGAACACAACTGACCTCCATAATCCAGATTGACCTCAGCAACTTTGTCAGTGAGGGGTGGAAACTGACCTACAGGAACTGACACAGCAACCACACTGATTCAGGGGACAGAGGACTTTAAGAGTATGAGGGCAGGTGTTTGTAGGGGCCTGGGGCCCGGAAGGACTTGTTTGCAGAACAAGAATCATTTTATGGCTGAGGGCCATAATTTGGAAACAGGAGCTAACAATGCTCTGATAAGGCCAGTCAGGAGGAGTGATGATTTATTACAGGTCAGGAGGTTTTTACGGTAGACACTTTTATTTAAATGTTATTCTGGTTGGGGAATATTTGAAGACTTTACAATACCAAGACTTCTTATTCATGAATGTAGTATATATCTTCTTTTAGATCATCATTAATGTCTTTTCATTTTATTTTCTGTAATGGGCTTGGATGCAGTTAGATTACTTCACATTTATTTGTATTTATAACTTACATATTTTAACTACATTTCCTAATTAGCACTAATGACATGTGTTGATTTTGTTACTACTTGAAACTTAACTACAAATTACTTTTTGCAGACATCTATACCATCTGAAAATAGCATGATTTCCTTATTATTTTTTTAAACATTTTATTATTTTCATTTTATGTGTATGTGTGTAATTGCCTGCATGTAGGTAAGTGCGCCCATGTTGTGCAATGCCTGCAGAGACAGAAAAGACTGTTGGATCCCCTGGAACTGGAGTTACAGTTGTTAGCTGCCATGTGGGTGCTGGGATTTGAACATGGGTCTTCTGCAAAAACAGTCAGTGTTCTTATCTGCTGAGCCATCTCTCCAGCCCCAATTTCCTTATTTTTAATCTTTACATGGTCTGATCTTGCTGGCTGTTCTAGGATACTACTGTGCTATCAGAATACTCTTTAAGATATCTAATACAATGCCTGACCTTCGGCATTTATACTGGGTATGAAGTTTGCTGTAGGTTTCATAAATGTCCTTCATTCAATGAAAGATCTTCACATTCCTATCACACTGAGAAACTTTGTCATTAATGTATGCTGAATTTTACTGGAGACATTTTATGCCTGCACTGTGCTATGTTTTCTCTGGAACTGTAATATAACTAATATTTTACTTATTAGTTTTAAGTATTCAACTGTTTCCTTTTCCTTTATTATATGATTAACATTTGGTCCTGAAATGCTTTTAAAATTTACTGCTGAGCCGGGCGTGGTGGCACTCACCTTTAATCCCAGCACTCTGGAGGCAGAGGCAGGCAGATCTTTGTGTGAGTCCCAGGCCAGCCTGGTCTTCATAGCGAATCCAGGCCAGCTGTGACTATAGGGAGACCCTGTCTCAAAGAGACCAAAAATAAATAAATAAAATTAACCACTGAATTCATTTTGTTAATTTTTTGCTTAGGCCCTTTGCACCTATATTTATAATTGAATTTGGCCTGTAATCATCCTTTTCTATATGTTACTAGTCTACTGAAGAAATAAAGGTTAAAATGAAGTGAGGGGTGTGTTCTCTCTTTTGTTACATGGAAGAATTTGTACAATATAAGAATTATGTGCATCTTGAACATCTGGTTGTATTTGCCTGATTTATCAGCCAGGTTCAGAGCAGGAGGCAAATCACTGGGTATTAAATAATAGGTAATTTATTCTAGAAATTAAATCTTCCATAATCACGAGAGGAGTTAGGAAAGTGAGGGGTAGAAGGATTTGAGGATCAGGTCAGAACGGTCAGGTTTCACGATGCTGTAAGAAACACGGAGAATTGGCATGGAAACTGTAGGTGGGGCCAGGTGCTCCCAGCCTCCCCAATGGCACAGACAGTAGAGTTGGTGGGAAATCTGTGGAAGGCTGTTGCATCAGGGCAAGGTGGTCGCTGGTGCCTATTGGTATTAACAGTGAGGATGAAAAGACACTCCAAGTAAAGGACACTCGGTTAATCCGCAGTCTGGCAGCAATCACCCTGAGGAAGTGCGGAGGAGCTAGCCCCTGTGCACCTCTTGCCACCTCCAGCCACCGGGACATGCTCCACTCAGGAGCATGCAGGATGAGAGCTTTCCCACCTGACACGCACAGAGCACAGCGCCCGGTGCACTTCTTGTTGGCAGTACAGGGCCTCTAGCTGCAAAAACCCTGTCAATTTCCCAACAGGAGAGTCCTGCGCTTCAGACATGACTGGATGGAAGAGCTTGGAAATATAAGGAGAGCTTTCCTATGTAAAGACATAAAAAGGAAGAAAGATAAAGTAAAAGAAACGTAGCAACTTCTTGCTAATTTAAGTTGACTAGAGAGTTTTCATTTCTCCAAACTGTTTTGTTTACTTGTTCAGGGGAAGTATGTATCTGTTAGGGTTTTTATTTATTATATTTAGTGCTGTCACATTTTCAGCAATCATACGACAATCATATATTCACGTGAAAAGGGCACCAGTTAATGGATAGAACTGGAACTATATGGATTCGATCAAGTACAGTATACTAAGCCTTTGTTAATGCTCCAGAGGGCTGAGTGCTCCTTTTGTATGAAGCAGGGGACAGATATCTAGAGAAAATCTCCACTATGCACAACATGGCCATGAGGGTAAGGAAATATAGTCTGGAAAAGATGAAAATCAAATATTTTATATGAAAATGCCCATTTTTAAATGTGTATTCTCAAGTAAAAGACATTTCTTTTAGAGATATAAAGCTGTGAGAAAAGAAGGCATCTCCTCAGGGTTACTCACTGGCTAAACACAAAGCATGTTTTTGCTTTAATTTGACAAGGAGCTGCTGGAGTGGCCCCCACTAAATATTCTCAATGGTCCCAATTTCTAAGGTATCAGCATCACCACAAAGCCCAAAGGAGGCAGGGATTTTCTGATTAAAAAATAATGGTGTATGTCGGGTTACTATAGTCTCAGATTCCAGTGGTTAGCCTGAGATTCTAAAAGAGGTATGCTCCAGAACGCAAACATAATTCAACTCATTCAAGCTTCAAATAATTGACTTTGGAAGGAGAAAAATATTCACATTTAGACATTTGGGGAAATTATGTCTGTTATTTTTCTGAAGTCAGTTCACTTATCAGAAAGAAAAAATAACAATGATTTAAAAACACTTAAATCTTTGCGGAAGGTTTTTAAAATCAAATATTTTTATGTATAGATTTTAAAATAATAAAAATAAGTGAACTGATTCTGAAGAAATCAGGTTCTAAGTTATAATTATTCCACTAATTAGAATTTAGAATGCAATTTAGAATGCAAAATTATGAGCATGGATCACACCAATGGTAAATTAAATGCCTACAATGCATCTTAAAAGTAACTGTTAGATTCCAACCATTTCATGAGATTCAGCTAAAAGTTCTATGTAGATCAAATAAATTACTTTGCAATCAACAAAACCCATGTGATTGCCTGCTTTAACCATTTCTTCTGAGGCAGCAGGGGAAGATAATCTTTTGAAGACACAGCTTACAGCGCATAAACGTCTCAATTTTGGTTTCTGACAATTCTCCACACTTCTCTTTTGAAAGTCTGCAGTGGAAGAAGCAAAATCACAGCTACGCATCTGTCTTCAGGTCACTGCATGGTGATTAGTCAGAGAGACTAAGGCGCCAAATCTTTAGTTCTCCACTTTTTAAAAGAAAATGACAGAAGTCCATCCACCTGGTTTGTTCTTCGTCTTCTTCCTAACTCCACTTTTCACTGAATTGGCTCTGTTTAGTGTGGGAGATCTGAGGCTCTTTGTTGTCATGACTAGTCAGCTGACTGGAGAGGATGCAGCTTCTCAACCCCCACAGCCAAAGGCCATTCCCTATAGAGGGGTAGATGGACGTTTCCCTCCCTGACCTGGAAACCAGGTCTTTTATCACTGGATGGCGGATTCAACAGCCTTGTTTTGTGCCTGTTCCATATATGTGGGGCTTCTGTCTCCATGAAGTCAGATGCACTGGCCCTATACAAAGAAGATGAAAAAGAAGGCGTAGAAGAATGAAGGAGACAGGGATGAAAGGGAAGAAGAGATAGAGGAAGAAGTAGAGAAGATTTCAGTGTTCACATCACTCACTACAAAAAAGCCCTCTATAATATCACTCTCTATAACCACTATCTATAATACTGATGGATTAAAACACGTGACACAAGGGAATACATTATCAAACTATTCTGGGCTCAATTTTGAAAATTAGGATAGTCCTGGTTGGCTGAAAGGATCCAAAGAGCTGTGCTGACATTTTTGTGTTCTCTGTGTACTTCCCGACTCCCCATCTGAACAAAGTTCAGGTTTGAAATGCACTTAGATGCCTTCTACCTGGCATGGCCCTCTTCCCCTAACACAGTGGCACTTCACTTAATCCTTGCCAGTTGATGCTGGCTGAAGTCAATGAGATGGTTCTGAGGGTTGACCACTAGTACTGTGCTTTCTAGGAACAGAGGGGACACTCTGGCTTAGAGCCAAAATTGACCTTCATCTTCTTCCCCACTCAACTTCCCCATTCAACCTCTGTGTGCACTTTCACTGTAAATATCTACAAGACAGACACGTTATAGGAGATTTCACCACTCACTTGAGAGACAGAGAGTGGGTCAAAGAAAATAAGTCAAAACGTTTGTAGTAGAGTGCAGAAAATGAAAACCTTCTCATCTGTCCTGGAGTACTTCCCTAACCATGAGTCCTTGGATTTTTTTCTGAATATAACCATGTGTCTGTCAAATCGTTGTACTATTGGATTAGCTTGCAAAATTATATCACATGTTCCACCTAAGTAGATTATCTTTGAAGAAGGAATTATGTGATTTTAGCTATTCAGGAAAACTGGTAACTATAAGATAATGCTTCCAATAACAAAATCTAAGTGACTATTGAAAACACGGAATTTCAATTACACAGGCAAGAGTTGCCACACATCAGTCACGTGTTGAAGTTTTATTCAATTATTTTAATTTTTACTTTATGTGTACGAATGTATTGCCTGCATTTATGTACATGCATCCATGTTGTACAATGTCCACAGCGGTCAGACGTGGGCATTGGATATCCTGGAACTGGAGTTAGGGACAGTTGTTAGCCACCATGTGGGTGCTGAGAATTGAATCCAGGTCCTCTTCAAGAGCAACCCATGCTCTTAACTGCTGCAACATCTGTCTAGCCCCTTATTCAATTCTTAAATGTGTCTTAATATAACTGGCCTTGGTCAAATGAGGCAATAAGCTTTTACTGAATTCAGGATTTTGAATTGCAGATCAAAGCATGTGCAAAAGGAAAATTTAGAATGAGTTCTTCAGAATCAGAAGCCTATGCTCTTCTCACTATTAAAACGTCTGAAGAGGGAAGTGTGGTGATAAGCACACTAGGAAATATCAGAAGTAGCCTTTCATTGGCAGAGAAGCTGTTGCTCTTGGCTCAAAAATTCCCTTTGCCTTTCCAAAGGCTTATGACACAAAAGTATGGTCAGCAATGTCCTCTAGGTTGTAAAAAGGACAATGATATCTGAGACCCAAGCCCAGGAGGTGTATCACATACAACTCCTGGCAAGCCCAGTATATTAAAGGATATTTGACTCTGTCTCTCCCTGAAGAGGATTGAGTTCCAGAACAATTTGAGAGGCTGGCTTGATTTTAAGGTCCCTTTGTGACCGGGCTGAACTTCTTAGCCAGCTAAGGATGTGGCTGTGGGCGAGCACCTGATAAGACCTAAATACTCTGAAATCCTCAGGACAATCCCCAGACCAGCTTACATTCACAAGAACCCCTCCCACCACACATAGAACCCATTTCCACAGAACCATTTACAATCCCACCGGAACTACACCTATAGCTCCTGGTACAGAACAAACCCCCAAGAACAACCTTCAGCCCTACCTCAAGCAAAGGAAGGAGTGACCCACTGTGTGCTTGCTCAAAGCAATGTGCCCTGAGCTCTGAGTACATGGTCTCTATATAAGAGGGAAATGCAATCAGAGTGTTCCCACTCCAGGGCCCGTCAGTACCTCCCACCTCCACATAGAGTTCACATATGCTAGTTTTTATGACCAGACATTCATGATTCAGGTAAAGATAACCATTTACCAGGCTCCAGGGAGGAAGGCAGGCCAGCATCCACTGCCTGGCCATTCCTGCCAGCCATAGGCAGACTCCCATTCTTGAGGTCTTGGTGTTCTTCTAGGACCACAAACTGCAAGAAATAAAAGGAAAAGGAGGATGCTGCTTGACTCACGAGTCACTTCAATAGCACTGAAGTCTACAGCTTTAGCACATTCACCTTATAGAGGGCAAAAACTGGAAGAAAGGCCCTGTCCAGTGCTCTTCGGCTGATTATATTTTCAACTGGAAACCTTGCATTAATTTCTATTCGGGCATGACCAATATCTTTACTGAGTAACATGTTCTAATTCCAGAATCCCACGTTTGTAACCATGGATCCCTGGGGGCCACTGTTTTGCTGCGAGTCATATAAGTATTCTAAGCATTGGCCAGACAATAATGTGACATGTATGTATGGGCTACAACAACTGTGTGTATGTATGTTTGTGAATATATATGTATATATATTATAAACTAAAATTATGCACAATTAAATTAGATATAATTCATTTAAACATACTATCAAGTCCCAAGTAACTTAGGGTCACTAGTAGGTAATAGTAATCAATAGCATAACTACTTTCCTCATGGTTGAACAGTTTAGGAACCAGAGTGCTAAAAGGGGGTCCAGGTAACCACAATAAACATTTCTCTTTACTCAACAAAATACCATTTGTGTCATTGTTTGCATTGTTCAAAACAGACTGGGCACTTGTAATACAGGCAGAGCAGAGCTGACTGGCCTGTGCTCAGGCTGGACAGGTTAGATGTTAAAAGAAACCAAACAGGAAAGGGAAGAATGGAAGTGACCTGTGCTCTGGAATACAGGACGCAGGTTGGTGAAGTCCTTCCTTGTTAATAAGTAACCCAGTGGAAGGACTGCCCCAAGGTCTGGGTGGCTTGTGTGCCACTGGTTCAGCAAGGGGCCCCTTCGCAGGAAGGAGCCTGGAACTCAGAGTTACAGGAAAAAGAAACACATCTCTGTGCCCATCTTTCTCCCTGAGTGGAGCCAATTACCCTTCTAAGGGCTGGAAATGCCGGAAACAAAAGGGTGAATCTCATGAGCATGTGTTTTCAGTTTCTTGTTTCCCATAACACTAGTCACCCTGTCTCTTTCTCATTAATGGTCTCTGCAGTGACATATTGCAAAATCAATACAGGGACTTGCTGTTTAAGGGCATAGGACCATTATTTCTTGCTCCAGTCAAAATCCAGTCAAATTGTGCACTGCAAATTTTCCAAACTTGAGCCTCTTGCCAGAGCACACAAGCTCCAGAATTCTGGGCCGCGAAGGAAGGTAGCTGATGGAATTAAATTTGTTTCTGCTGCTCCCCCTGGTTTGTTTTTGGGGGTGTTGTGTATCTGTGTGTATATGGACACACACACAGGGGAGAGAGGGAGGGAGGGACCACCTATGCCTTTTGTTAAGCTTCTCCATACATTCTTCTGGAAGGCCCATCTTCCACAGGGCTGTGGCTTCCATGATACACAAAATGAATAATACTAACAACACACACAGATTCATGATGTTATCTGACAGCCATTACTGGAAATGGAAACTCTCTTCTAGGGTCAAGTTTGCCAACCCCCCCCACAATCTTCCCTCTAGTGGCCTGATATCAGTTACTGAAGTGGGTACCTTGAACTTGGTCCATGAGGTTCCTGGAAGATTCGAGGGGTTCACAGATAAAAGTACAGGGCACACGACTGACAAACACAAACCTGACTTTGCATTAAACTTTTACTCCAATTATAAATATGTCTTTAAACATCCAGTATCTTTATTTGTTGAGTCTGGCACTATCTTGTTACTGCATTTAGGGACTTAAAACGCATGTGCGGAAAGAAATACTAAGAAAACTAGGCTCCTAAGCGGAATCACTTTAAGACATCACAAAATACTTCACGTAACATGAAAATCTAAGTTAAAGGTAGGTGTGTGCTTGCGCCATTGAATTATGGTGCTATTTAAACATATCTGATTCCCTTAACTTAGGACCCAGCTCCCTCACTCCCAACCAGTGTGTTGGTGGCTAACACTGACACCAGCTGGCAGCAGTGACAGATTCCGGATGTTCTGAACTCCATGAAGAACGAGCAAAAGTGAAACGGGTTCATACTACAATGATCCCTAGCTTCATCTACTTTGGTCACATTACCCAAGGTTGGGGACAAGAAGACGTTGCAGCCCCAGTGCCGGCACGCCTGTTAGCACTTCTGTCTCTGCTCGACTCTTCATAAGGATTCTTTGGGTTTTTCAATAGCTGTTTCTGAGTCCTGAGATAAAGCCAAAAATAGGGACAATCTCAAAATAAAAACAAAATACTCATTCCATTCACCAATGGTCAGGAACAACTATTTTGGCAAATAAGGTCTACAGACAGTGAGTATATAACCAAGCTGGAGAGCTGTTAGCAGCTCCAGTGGTCGGCACTGTTAAGTAAATAGACATAGATCTGTTCACAAGGATTTTTACAACTCTGGATGTACTTCAACCACAAGAAAAAGAAAGGGTTCTCACAAGATTTCTTTTCAAGAAATAATACTCCAGGTATGGTGGCACACGCCTTTAATCCCAGCACTTGGGAGGCAGAGGCAAGTGAGTTCAAGGTCAGTTTGGACTATATAATGAATATCAGGCCAGCCAGGGCTACATAGTGAGACCCTTTCTCAAAAAAATATAGTCCTTATCAACTGCATGTGTATATATAGGTGTATAAACATGTACACATGCAGGGAAAGGTGTGTATTTACATGAAGGCCAGAGGCAGACATCATGTGTCTTCCTCAATTGCTATCCATCTTATTTGAAACAGGGTCTCTCAATGATCCTGGAACCTTCCAGCTGAACTAGACTGGCTTGGTCAGTAAGCCCCAGGGGTCTTCCTGTCCCTACCTCCCTAGCGCTGGATTTACGGATGCACTGCTGCACCCAACTTTGCTTTTTTATTTTTGCATAGGTGCTGGGACTGAACTCAGGTCCCCTTGCTGTATGCAAGCACTTTACTGATTGAGCCATCTTCCCAGTCCCTTTATCATTTTTGTCGTTAGGAATACGGACGTCAGAAGCTGAAGACATCCTTATTCATATAGAAAGTACCCAGTCATCTTTCAGCTAAGCTTCTCTTAAAGTTCCAAGTCAATGGGCCAAGGATGTAGTTAAGTGGTAGTAAACTACCCTGCCATGTATGAAGCCCTGGGTTGGATCCTTAGTCTCCAGCCCCCAGACTTCCCAGACAAAAATGCTATCAATTTTCCATTAGCTTAAAATCTACACCTGCCTCTGGTCAGGCATGGTGGTGAAGGCTAGAAATCATAATATTGGAAGGCTGAGGCAGGAGAATCATGAATTGGAGGCCAGCCTGGGCTAAATAGCAAGACTTTGTCTTTAAAAAAACCAAATTTCTGAAAAATGTTAATAGAATACAAGTTATATGTCATAACTCTTCAAAGAAAAATAATCATGCCACATATGAACTTAAGCTTCTTTCTTCCAGTTTTCAGCTCTGCCAAACATCTACCTTTCTTTTGGAAGAAGCCATTAATTATCCAATATTCTTTCCATTGATTAAGAAGCTAAAAAGTACAGGGATGTTGATGGATCACTGAATTAAAAGTTCAGGTTTGTGCCTTAGAATCTTGCTTCTCAGGAGGTGATAAGAAAGGTCTTCAAGTACAGGACTCTTATTGGGAAGAATACTGGTCATATAAAATCGTAACCAGATAGCATTTATTATACTGAACTCTCCAGTCCAAGACTGGACTATCAGACTAACTCAATCTCACAATAACTCTTGAGACAAGCACTATTTCCTCCCTACTTTATAGCAAAAGAAATTAATGAGGACAGATGCGAAGAAGCATGCCCAAAGGTTCTGAGGCACTGACTTAGATGCGAAATGCATGAGCCGATTCCCCAGCCTATGCTCTACCCACTGCAGCGGGGCTCTGGTGAAAGAAATCACGTCGGGCTGATGCTGTTGAATTTTCTAAAACACAATAGAGTTGGAACTGGAGTTGATGCTCAGTTTTGGACAAATGTGGTTGGATGTCTATCTGCACATTGCCAGCAAACTGGACCTGTGCGCTAAGTAGACCATAGCCATAAAAGATGCGCTAGAACCAGATATTTGTATAAAAGTCCTTCTCAGCCCAAAAGTCATATGACCCACTGACTTTGTACAACACAAAGTGTAACACCTAAGCTCTTTCAATGCTGATCACAGTGGGCAATGTTTCCTTTGTAAAGAAATGGAAAACAAGCCTGTTCTTTCATCCTAATGTAGTATTAAAAAAACACATGGAATGCATGTTATTTTTTCAGTTTTACAATATTAACTTTAGCCGGGCGGGGTGGTGCATGCCTTTAGTCCCAGCACTTGGGAGGCAGAGGCAGGAGGATCTCTGTGAGTTCGAGGCCAGCCTGGTCTACATAGTGAGTTCCAGGACCCTGTTTCAAAAAGACCAAAAAAAAAAATTAACTTTAAATTATTGAAAACAATGCAATGACCAATAATTTCCTTCTAAATCAGAGGAGATAATTAATTGCTTTCAACAAAAGATCATTTTTATGGGTGATTAACTCAATGAAAGGCAGCTATAGAAAAGTATAGTTGTGCTGCTGATGTGGCCTGTGATGCTAAAAGAAGAAACTGGAATGTACAATGCATTATGCTAAATAAGTATATACAGTCTGGGGATGTAGCTCAGTACATATGTGCAAGGTCCTGGGTTCAAGCCTTATCATCACCAAAATAAATAGTCACATATATTATGTACACGCAAAGATTGGACAGAAATAAGTAAAAGCATTAATGATTTAGGGCAGTGAGGTCTGGGCTTTAAAATAAATAAATAAAAGGTTATTCGTTCTTTTAAATACAGTAAGTAAAGCAGGGCATGGTGGTGCACACTTTTAATCCCAGTACTGAGAGGCAGAGGCAATTAGATCTCCATGAGATCAAAGCCAGTCTAGTGACTGGAAACAGACACAGTGAGTTTCAGGCAGGCTGGCGTTATGGGAGACTCTGTCTAATTAATCAATTAATTAAAAATTTAAAACACAGTAATTAGGGAGGGTAAGATTGCTCAGTGTTTAAGAGCACTGACTGCTCTTGCAGAAGACTGGGTTCGAATCCCAGCACCCACATGGTGGCTAGCAACCATCTGTAACTCCAGTTCCAGGGAATTTGACGTCCTCTTCTGGTCTCCACCGGCACTGCATGACACAGGTACATTTATATACTTGCAGGCATAATACTCTTACACATAAAATAAACAAGTTAAAACAAAAAAAAAATTTAAATAAATAAGTACAGCACGTAGAAAGTTCGAGTTTGTTCCAAGAAGGCAGGCACTCCCTGGGAGGGCTTAAAAAGAGGCTTAAAGTCTCAGGAAAAATGAGAATTACCTGCAGTAGTGAGCCCCCCACAGTCCCAAGAGGAGCAACAGGGCCAGCACCACCACACAGACAGCCACCACGGTGACGTTGCACTCCTGACCCTGGCCCGCGTGACGCAGTCCCCACCATCGCAAGTCTCGGTGCTGACATCGCTCCCCGATGTAGCCGACCACACAGCTGTTGACAACACACAGAGTCATCAGAGATCCCCGACAATTGATATTTTCAGATTCAGTATGCAGTGTCTCTCACCCTCCGAGTTTCTGAATTGAGCTCTTTGAGAGCCTATGATATCAGCTAAAAGCACCCTGCTTTACACATTAGCACTGCAAGCCTTTCCTCTTTCCTGCCTGTCTTCAGGGTGATGGCATATTGTTTCTATGAGGCCTTACCGAACACGGACTAAAGATAAATTCTCAGGCTGAAATCCTGAGAAGCCACACTTTCCAGATCAACACAAAGGGATGGTACCCTGAGAGCCAGGAAAGGCCTGGAAAGGAGTGTGCACAGGCTGCAACGCGCACAGGAAAGGAGTGGAGTGTGCACAGGCTGCAACGCGCACAGGAAAGGAGTGGAGTGTGCACAGGCTGCAACGCGCACAGGAAAGGAGTGGAGTGTGCACAGGCTGCAACGCGCACAGGCTGAGGAAGGGACCCGGAAGTGAGTCGCCTGAGAAAGAACCAGGCTGTAAAAGAGCTGGGCCCTGACAGGAAGCTGGGGCTCAGGCCGGATTTCCGCCTTTTTGTAACACTGACCTCCAGCCCAAGGGAAAATGTCTCCGTGCTGGCGCAAGAAGCGGGCAGCTATTGGGGGGAATAAAAGGACATTCGCCTGCAATGTCCCACCAATGAAATTACTAGAATGATCAGTGACCCAGTTTATTACTGAACCTTTCCATTAAAGTAAGTGAAGCAATGCCGCCCTCTGCTGGGAGAGCTCGGCTCCAGGAAGGCGCTCAGAGAAACACATTCCCTTACTCTTTACAAGAGTATCAACTTAAAAAGACAATCCCCTTATGAATTCCCTCCCTGGTGCTGGATCTACTAGTGACCCTTCTAGGTTCCATCGTAGCCCAGAAGGACTGAAGAAATGCATACACAGGAAAGAGGAGCCGCTCCAATGAGAAGACCCGGCATGGAAAACGCTGAGGACACCTCCAGAGGAGGAGGCGGGAAGGGACAGGAATTGCTCGTCACCCGCGTGGCTGACGCCATGGCACACACACGTACTCACTTTTTAACTCATTTTTATGGTATCTTCTCTATTTTACGGGGGAAGAAACGGGCTCAGCATTAAATAATTTGTACTAGGTCACACAGCTAATGGATGACAGTTCTGAGTCACGTGATTCTCAGATGTGGGAGGCCATGCTCTTTCTACACCATCCTGTTTTCAAATCAGACTTGTGGTTTCATTCACTCTGCAAGACCACTCTTCTACAACCGACTGTGCAAAACACGGCAGGACTAAGGTCACCTCAGGTTTTCTGGGAACTCTTACTTCTAGCTGATTTTGATTACTGCTATTTATTGACCCACACCAGCAGCCACGTTTAAACCATGGATGCTAATGGTCTCTACCTCCAGAATTTGGGAATCTTGAGGACTGTCAGTCACATGGTCAAAGGTCATGCAGAGCCAAGTACTCTGTGATAGCAGAGCTTCTCCAAGCCTCACAAGGCCCAGCCTTGTCAGGAATTTACAGGGGCTGCTGGTGCACAAGCCCTGAATCTTTTGGATTGCTAGTTAGGCTGAGCCAAATAAAAGGCTCCCTGGTCAAATAAGTTTGAATTTCCACAGTCGAATAATATGAAGTCATTCTAAACTAAATAAGGGTAAAGTGGCCTTTTCAATGTGTTGTGATGAGCCATGAACCCCAAAAAGAAGGCTGGAACGGGAAGCATTTCCCTACATGACCTGGCCATACAATCCTGTCTTCAGGAAACTTCACAGCTCTGCCGTGAGAGTGCTACTTTAAATAAAGACATGTCAGACGGATGCTTGGCCAAAACCAAACCAGAATGAACGAGGGCCTCCTTTGAGCCCAAGAGATTGGCACCTCCAGAGCCTCGAGGCCAGCAAAGCTCTGGGAATCCATGGCCATGGATATCTCCAGCCTCACTGCCTCTACACCATGGGGATGACCTGGGTGTCTCCAAGGGGAACGTCCACACCTCCCAGCAAAGGAAGAGCCCCTTAGAGGCCTGCACCATGCTGAAAGGTGTCTGTGAGGTCTCTGATAAAGCTGGACTCACGTACACTCCCTGAAGTTCATTATTATGAAAGTAATAAAATGCAAAGGAGGTTGACAGGACAAAAGGAGGGAAGGGGTGAAAGCTTGGGTCAACCACGTTTTTATATACAATTCAAAGTAAAGTTAAGGTCCAGATGACTACTGATCTTAAATACCACTTTTGGTGAAAACCCCTTTAAACATCAACATCTTAAGTTTTTGTTTATTTGTTTGTCTGTTTAAGACAGGGTCTCAGGTAGCCCAGGCTGGCCTTGAACTTACTATGTAGCCAAAGATGACCCTGAACTCCTGATCTCCTGCCTCTACCTTCTGGAACTACAGGTGGGCTTCTCCATGCCTGGGCCTATCTTCAGCATAACTGTCATTTTGCAGCAATTTGTGTTTAAAGCATTACATGGGAAAGATTATATTTTCATAGGGATTTTGTGTTAAAGAGAAAAGAAGTGTGTTGATCTCACCGATCATTTCAAGGATCGACAGTATCAGATTAAAATAAAAATACTGCACTACATCTCTGCAGCACCCCTTCATGCTGTGATAGTTACTTTATGACCCAAAGTTAACTATCATGGAGGAAAACAAACTGTAACTGGTTAATTAGACATCCATTCTTATAATTTCTTATTTTTTGTAGAAGATACAATAAACAGATAAAAACAATTTATTCCTAATATTAAGACTATTAATTAAAAAGTTAATTATGTTATAGTTAAAAGGACCTTGAGTTAGAAAATTACAGTATGTAAATATGAACCTGTAAGTGAACGTCTACTGGAAATTGAGTCATTTTCACTAACATTTCCAAACATTCCTTTTTTTTTTTTGGTTTTGGTTTTGATTTTGTTTTGTTTTGTTTTTTGTTTTGAGACAGGATCTCCCCGTAGCCCCGCCTGGCCTGGAATTCGCTATATAGACCAGACTGGCCTCAATCTCACAGAGATCCACTTGCCTCTGCCTTCCAAGTACTGGGATTAAAGGCATGCGCCACTACCCTGGGCTAGTCATGCTGACACTATTTTTAATGTAAGACCATATATTTGGTCCAGCACACAACTTTATCCTCCAATAATTTAGACTGAGTTTGTGTATAAGGGGGTATGCACGTACATGTGTGTGCACTGGTACACATATATAATGTGCATGCAGGTACGTGTAGAGGCCAGAAGTAAAACTCAGCTGTTTTCCTCTTTTGCTCTCCACCTTTAAAAAATTAGTCTCTCTCTCTCTCTCTCTCTCTCTCTCTCTCTCTCTCTCTCTGTCTCTGTACATATACGCTCTATGGTACATGTGTGCCTGTCAGATGACAGCTTGCATGAGTCTGTTCTACCCTTTACCATGTGAGTCTGAGGACAGAACTCAAGTTGCTGAGCTTAGTAGCAAGAGCCTTTATCTGCCGAGTCATATTGCCAACCCTCCACTTTAGTTTTGAGACAGGGTCTCTCACTGGACCTGAAACTCACTGATTTAGTATGACTGACAGGTTGGCAAATACCAGAGACCCTTTTGTCCCCTCCTCCCTAGGACTGGGATTACAGACTTATACTGCTTCACCTGACTGTTTACGTGGGTGCTAGAGAGCTGACCTTAGGTCCTGCTTTGATGGCAAGCATGGTGCCAAATGAGTCAGATTAGCAGCTCCCAGGGAACGGTTTTTCTGAGTGAGCACCCATGGGAGTGCCTCACAGTTCTAGAACTTCAGAAAAAGTCTTTTCAGGTCACAACTTGGTCTATCATGAACTCTAATGGGAGAGAAAGGGGAGCAAACAAGTAGCTATTAACAAAAAAAATTGATTACAGGAAACCTTTTTAAAAAATACAATTGTTTTAGCTTTAAAACTCAGAGGACGGAAGTCCAATGAGAACATACATACAACATTGTTATAATTCTAGAAATGTATCATGGAGGTCCTTCACATATCTGGCAGAATATAAGTCAGTTTTAAGAAACTTTCCACAAACTTACATTTTCATCCTGAATGAGAAACTGAGCCCCCAGACTATGTTCAAGTAAAAGGAAAGTCATCAATTCCTACAGAAAAACCTCTGTAGAAATTTTACAAATTTTCCCCGTCATGGACCACAGTACCGTCTTGTACCACTAGAAAAGTGCTTGACTTACTTGCATGCGTAGCTGTCTAATGCTTCAACATACATGCACACACCCCCATGGAGGCAGTACCCATCATGTGACGGGGGGCATCCTGGGTAACTATTTCTGACCAGATGGCGGCCATCTTCCCCAAGGGGAGAGGGTAAGGTAGAGTCTGGAAGGATCAAAGACATGACTTTTATTTTCTGAAGTGGTTGGGACCTTGAGTTTCTACGAACAGTTTATGATGTGGTCTTCTAGTGACAGTGGAAGTATCAGGAGCCATGAGAATTTCACCCCCTAACCAAACCTGTCACAACCGTCATGAAGCCACTTGAATATCAAGTACAAAGCACAATGGAAGCAAAGAAAGGAAAAGTGGGGATTGTGTAAACCTCACAGTCCTCCCAGTAGCACACAGTCCATCCCCTCCCAATCTGGGGAATCCCAAACATTTCTCCCACACAATGCTTTCTTCTAAAACTGACATAACTTTTAAGGGAACCCTCTGATTCAAGAGGTGGGAAGAAAATGTTCTGATAATTAAAGGGGTGCCAATGTGGCAGCGCCTCACGTATCTGAATAGTGCCTTGCTCCTTACAGGGGAGGTAGCAGGCTGTTTTGCTGACTAAACAAAAGGTTTTCACTTTGGTTGCTCACTTAAATACAGGGTCTCTCAGTAGCACAGACTGACCTCAAACTCAAGGCAGTTATCCTGCCTCAGCCTCCCACGTGCTAGGATTACAGAAACTGGCTACCACACCCATGTTGAATATCTTTCTTAGGGGTGGGGGGGTGGAAGGATTCAGACAGGGTCTCCTTGTAGCCCCAGCTGGCCTGGAACTCACTATGTAGACAAGGCTGGCCTCAATCTTACAGAGATCTACCTGCCACTGCCTCCCAAGAGCTGGGACTAAAGGTGTGGGCCACCACACCCAGCTTGAATATCTTTTAAGTTTTAAATTATCTGAGAAAAAAGAATGTCCTGAAAAATCCAGAGACCAGGCAAGCACAGCACTCTGCTGAAGGTATTTTCTGTCTGCAGAGCTGAGAGGGCAGGAGGCCCAATCCTGGCTGCCAGGGACTAGAAGAAACCAACTCTATTTCTAGGGTGCCGATGGTAAGAAGATATTGTTGTTATAGAGGCTTCAGAAACAAAAGCCAGCCATGATGACTGTTTTAAAAGAAGCTAAGATCACCGGGCTGCTAATTCATATTAAGACATACTGATTTTAAACACTTTTTATTTATTTATTTGTATTTTATGTGCATTAGTGTTTTGCCTGCATGTAAGTGCACCACATGCATGTAGTTCCTGTGTAGGCCAGAAGAGGGCATTGGATCCCCTGGGACTGGAGTTAGGGACCATTGTTATCTGCCATGTGGGTGCTGGGAATCCAGCCTGGATCTTCCGCAAAAAGCAGCTAGAGCTCTTGGCCACTACCCATTTCTTCTACTGTGGCCTGTAGTCTGTGCTCAGGTGTGCTGGGCGAGTAAAATACATGCCAGATTTTGAGGCTTTAGCACCAAAATCTAAATGGATGTAAAATTTTATACAGATCACCTACAAAAGTCTTAACATTTGGATATATTGGAACAAATAAAATATTCTATTACCCTTTCAGATATAGTCACGACCTGCCTAGCCCTGCCAAGTTTTCCCACAGACCCTGAAATCAAACTACCAATGGGAAATTAGTCACGAAGTTAAGGAGAGCCACTTGTGTGCCCATCTATACTGAGCTGTGAGTAATAAAAGTGATTTATTATAGATGTAAATTAACAAAGCCTAGATCATTTTGGGTTTTGAAGTCTAGTGTCTGCCTGGTGAGGAAAGCTAACTCTCCAGGCTATCTGAACAATGATTTCTAGACTCTCCAAGACAAATGAATGGAACACAGGATTTCCTGAACCAAGCCTGTCCCCTTCGATCTAGACCCTCCACCACCTACCTGGGCAAGTCAGTCCAGGTGCAGATGGGTGGCCAGCACAGGTGCAGTTGTAGCCTCCCTCCGTGTTGGTGCAGTTGGCATTCTCTCCACAGATGTGCGTCCCTTGCTGGCACTCGTCAATATCTGTCAGGGGAGTGAGAAGAGAAGAGGAAACGGGGTTACACAGCAGTCCGGATGGGGCTTCTTCGCCCCCTGTGCTGCTTCATTTCCAAGGGCACCATCCTGAATGCTGCAGAGAAAGATCAACTGTGTGTCCAAGGCTGCACGCCTATTAGGTGTTCTAGGCTCCTGACAAAGGCTGCCAGGATTTTCCTCCTGCTTGGACTCAAAGGAGACTCAACCCAACTGAGACTGGCAAAGTGCTCCAGGAAGACATTTAGTGTCCCATACCCTAAAACTCATGCTTAATTTTTTTTTAAATTTTATGTGTATGAGCGTATTGCCTGCATGTATGTGAGTGCACCCATGTTGTGCAGTGCTGCAGAGGTCAGAAGAGGGCTTCGAATTCCCCTGGAACTGGAGTTAAGGACGGTTTGTAGCCACGATGTGGGTGCTGGGAATTGAACCCTGGTCCTCTGCAAGAGCAGTTGGTGCTCTTAATTGCTGAGCCATCTCTCCAGCCCTTCATACTTAATTTTTGCAAATAGACATTCATCCATTGATACAGATGGCATATCAAATACAACATTTTTGCTTTTTAAAAACACAGGTATGAACTGTACATAAGCTAGTCTCTTTTTACCAGTTACCAGCCTTTTTCTTTCTCAACTACTACCACAGCAACATTAGGTCTTTCCATCATCACTTCTAAATTCCTACAAGAGCAATCTCACGATGCCCCAGAACCACAGCTCCCCAGCCACTCCTAAACACCAGAGCCACCCTTCTCCCTAGGCCACAGGATGCTGAGCATGTTACTGTTCAGTTTTTACAGGCATGCTCCCAGAGGCCTCCTGTTGCCTACAGCTGTACCATCCAACATGGCAAGACTTGCCCTGTGGGAGAGTAATGGGCTCCCCAAATGCATCGAGTCCTCTAGTACAGACCATGCTGCTAGTTCTGAACACATGTGAAGCTTTAGTACCAAAATTAATATCTAAAACATCTAAAATACTGATTATATATTAAAATGATACTATTTTAGATACAATAGAACGTGAAACATATTTAAATTAATTTCACTTGTTCATACTTTTCACAAAGTAATAACTAGAAAATCTAAGAGAGGACTGACCCAGGGAAATGAAGCCACAATAGCCAAACCTCAGATTCTGGTCTTATATGCACAACACAACCCATCTATTAATACTGAGAACTGAACTGTCTACCCATATAGTCATACACTGATGCCCTAACTCCCCATGGACTGTATGTAGAGGCAGGTTTATAACTAAGGTTAGGTGAGATCAGGAAGGAGGTGTCTTGGCAGAATGGTGTCCTTGGAGGAGGAAGGGGCACCAGACATCTCTGCCTGCACACCACAGAAGAAAGACAGTAAGGACACAGTGAGACGGTGGCACCCATAAGCCAGAAAGAAGCCCTTTACCAGGACCACACCAGCGCCTGTATCTAGGGCTTGCAGCCTTCAGAACTGTGAGGAAAGAAGTTCCTGTGATTTGAGCCACCCTGTTTACATACTATGCGATCCCTCATACACACAGTACTAGTCCCTACTCCTCAAATAAGACGTGATTTGTTCATGTCTGGACTACTCCTGATGCCTTCACATTTTTGCTTAATTAGCATTTACTCATTCTCCACAGTCCCTTCGAAATGCCACTCCCTCCTGCAACCTTGCCCAGTACTTGAAGCAGATGCTCCTCCGAGTTCTGAGCTTCACTGTACTGTTGCGTCTCTACGGTGGACGCCTGTTGTCCATGTCGCAGCGTCACTTATCGCAGCTGCATTTCTTTAGCTCATGGTCTTTGGTCTCCTGGTAAGCAAGGACTGAATTCCTCATCTTGACTCCTCACAGTGTGTGCCTTTGCCTCCGTTAAAGATACATTGACTAAAATCATACTGACTCACAACCCTGAATGGTTCTAATTGACTTTTGTTCTTTATTTCCTGTGGGAGATTTTCTCGTCTTTTCTTTTTCTCTGGCAGATTAAATTTAGGGCCTTGAATATGCTAGGTAAAAGTCTACCGCAGAGCCATGCCTCCAGCCCTCAAATTGACTTTTTTTTTTTGTCTTTTTTTGAGACAGGGTCTCCCTGTAGCCCCAGCTGTCCTGGAACTCACTATGTAGACCAGGCTGGCCTCGAACTCAGAAAGATCTGCCTGCCCCTGCCTCCCAAGTGCTGAAATTAAAGGCATGCACCACCATGCCAGGCTCAAATTGACATTTAGAAAATGTAAAACACCAGTTTCCTGTTATAACTGTTATAATCTCAACTTATAAATCCCCTCTCACCTTTAGAGAAATCCCTCTCCCTAATTAAAAGCAAAAACTCACATTGGTCAGGAGACACAACTACTCTCAGTAACAAGAACAGAAACACTTTTCTTTCTTTTATGCATTTCATTTATTTACTCATACATGCCCATGCCACAGTGTGCATGTGGAGGTCAGAGGACAGCTTGCAGGAGTGGGTCCTTTCCTTCCTTCCATCCTTGTGTGGGTCCTGGGGATTCCACTGGTCCATCTTGCTGGCTCAACAACACTTTTCTATGGAACTTATGAGCCAAGAGAGGTTCAAAGCTGGTCGCCTGCATATTATATGCCAAGTACAGGCATACATACACCACACAGGGAAAGATATAGAGGTACAGAGGTGCAGTGGTAGACAATAGGAGGATGCCCACGGCATCTGTGGGCCTGAGCACTCCGTGGAACCAGGTGAGGCAGGACCATGACACCTTTGGCGTGTTTGATGCTAGGAGATGGTTAGTAACAGTGAGAAACTGGAGTCTAAAGAGTTTAAGTATCTGAGAAAGTATGTCTTCTTTTCCTTTCAAAAGATATAAAACAGAAAGCTTGTTTGCCTAAAATAGCTATGATCCTGCTTAATTAGAGCAGTGACATTTTCCTGACCGATTGCCAAATATGTGCTTAAAAGAGTGTTTTCAGATGTCTGTGGACTCCACAGAACTAATTTGATAAAGGTCTGGCTTAAACGAACCAGATCCACAAATAGATAGCTATGACTGTCACATGTGGGAGAAAGTACCAACATTTGAGTTTCAGATCAGGGTATCTGCCCCTCACTCCAAAAAGACGTTTGTTCTCAGAAAAAGAAAAACACTGGAAGAGGAACTGGAAAGCCCTGGGATACCAGCTAAGCGCAGCACTAGGTAAAGGTGGCTTAAGGCAGGTCTCCACTTGTACAGCAATGCTGGGCTCCTGACACCTGGGGCAGCAGAAGACATCCACAGAGTGAACTCCCAACCCACCAGCCCTGCCCAGCCCTTGGCAGAGGCAAGTGATTATGAAAGGGATTTCAATCATTCTGGACTTGTAGCAAAACGTCCCATCTATTGTAGCGAAATCTCCCATCTATTCAGCTATCAAGAAACACCCCACACCTGTCATGAAGCCATGCCTCCTTTTCTTTTTGCACACAGTGACTTCAACACACCCACAGCAACCCACAGCAGTCCACCACAATCCAGTTACCAAAACTCAATGACAGAAACAGTGTCCAGTCCCACTGACGGCTCAGGACACTGAGCACCGATGAAGTATCACCCCGCAAACTCCAGAAAAAGAATTAAAAAGGCAAAGAGGGAGACAACATCTTCAGCAGCCTGACTTGTGCAGCTATGGCCAAAGACACACGTGACTGGTTACTAACCCTGAAATACACCTGTCTGAACAGGTCACACAACTTCGCTTTTATTTTTGACAGGTGCCACCCCAATTACATCCTGCCTTCTCTTGGCCCACAGCACCCACAACTCTGATGATCCTGTTTGCTTTCCTCCCCCTCTTCCATGGCACCTGTGCTGTCTCACCGAGACAGTGGATCCCGTCTCCTTCATAGCCGTCTGAGCACCGGCAGACATAGCCACCTTCAGTATTGATGCACTGGGATGAGACGGCAGGACAGTTCATGTTTCCCAGCGCACACTCGTCTATATCTGTGGAGGAAACTATGAACTAGTGAAATGTTTAGGCAATCCTGGCTTACACTTAGGAATGGTAATAAAGATTAAACAGTCATGTTCAATCATTCAGCTGTTAACAGGTACTGTTTGTGAATGTAATGCAAACCCTACATCTTAAGACTTTTTGCAGAGTCCCCACCTATCCAAATAGCTAAGTATGTCTAAGTAAACTACTTTTTGTCAGAGTTTCAGACCACAATGACTGACATTTTCCCAGTAACCATTAACTTACAATTTGAGGCTATCAGTATAAAGTAGAAATCTATCACAGTCAAATTCACTAAAACATATATACTAAGTTTCTTGGAGGAAAATGTTCTCTTTTCATTAGACTTGGTAGATTCATAACTTTGACTTGAACTCAAATTCATGCTTCAGAGCTAATGACCAGTTCTCTTAATATCAACTGCATGTACTACAAGATTTTAATACAAACTCAGTACAAAATGGATAAATAATATATAAATATACTTACCTATATGTCTAATATTTCCTATGTATATATATTGTTAACATCAAATAATTTATTTAAATCTGGTGGAGAATTTTTTTACTCAGTAAATACAAAAAGAATGCTTCTAGTTCACAGTTTTTTAAATACGTGTATTTGGCCTTTGCTCTTACCAGAACACAGTTTTCCATCCCCAGCAAATCCTTCCAAACACTGACAGGTGGCATTCTCTCCCTCTGAAACACACTGGGCATGCCTGCCACATCCTCCAGGGGCACAGTCATCTTGATCTGCAAACATGAGAACCCAATGCAATTATTTCTAGACCTTAGGGGGTAAAAAATTGATCTTCATGTCCTGGGCTGCAGAGGACATTCCAACACTTCCTTCCTGAAGTTCTGGTACAGGCTAGCCTTGGAACAGAAACCTCAGGTTGAGCTGTAAGCTGCATCTATTTCATTGGATTCATAAGATACAGGTTTATGTTTACATGTGCTGAACAAACTTTAGTCATATTGGTTTGTTGGTTGTTTCGGTTTTGGCTTTGGTCTTTTTGACGAGGTCTTACCTAGGCTGGCCTCCAACCTGACACCTCCCTCTCACTCTCTCGGGTGCTGAGCTAAACTTTAAAGAACAGTCTGGTGTTCAGAGAGCCCTGTGTGGGCTTGTTTATAATTTTTTAAAGCATTTGGACATTTTAACTATTAACAGTGCTTGAAATACAGTCAAATTTCAAAAGGTTTTTTTTTTTTAACAAAAGTTCCCAAATATTGTGACATACAAAAAGGAATAAATCTACCCCCCTCCCCACCCCAACACAGACTTCTATGCAGCAAGCAGATCTATTTATGGGAAAGAGATAGACTCGTACAAAGATTTATTATCAATTTACGCATATCATGCTTCATCTCTAATAGAATATGTGTCACAGTGTGTGCTTATTATCAAGACTGATGCACTGACTTGCAAGCCTCCCGGCACTTTTGCTGAGTCACAACCCGTAGAAGTCAAATGCTGTAAATGGATCATTTTATTTCATACTCCATTGAAATGCAGATGCCCCAGGGGACAGAGTTACACATTGAGCCAGGGATGTGAACGAGTTTTTCTTTGTTTTTGCCTTTCTGCTTTAACTACTTGTGCATAATCCTTCTCAAATGCCTCCCACACCTCCTTTTTTGGGTTAGAAGATCGGGCATACCAACAGCAGTCTATGAACCACCACCCATCCACTCACTGGAAAGTTTGTTCACAGAGTACAGAAGAGATGAAAAGAAGCCTTGAGCTTGCTTGTAAATCAAAGGTTAAAGGCTCTAAGCTGGATTCAGGTCCCACATGACCACAAACACTGGGGTCATTGTGTTTCATATGCTTAGCTACTTAACCAAGATTTCTCTTCTGGGAGCACATGCCTTTCATGCTTGCCTGGTCACCCCGTCACTCACAACTCAGAATGGGAAAGCTCAAATATTGAGAGGACTGGCTCCCAATTCCCGAGGCTGCCAAGAGCAGGGTAGAGAGTATCAGAGCGTATTCAAATTAGAATGTGACTCAGGTATTATTGGTTAACTTGCAGACCTCAAATCAGCTTTGCATGATGATAAGCAACAGATATTCAGTAGGAGGGAGGGGCTGAAAACCCAAGTTCTTTCTGTCACAAGCTCAGTCTGGGCACAGTGCCAGTGGTGAGTGTCTTCTTTATATTATGAGTGATAAGTGTTTTAAAAATCCTCTACAAATAGATGACATATTTAAATAAAGATCACAAAGAATATCATAGTGATATCTGAACAAGAATTAAGATTGAGGGCTGGAGAGAAGGCTCAGCAGGTAAGAGCACTGGCTCCTCTTAAAGAGGGTTTGGTTCCCAGCACCCACATGACAGCTAGCAACTGTCCATAACTCCAGTTCCAGGGGATCTGATGTCTACCAGCACTGCATGACATGGGTGCACTTACATACATGTAGGCAATATACTCATACACATAAAATTAAAATAATAAATATTTTTTAAAAGAATTAAAATTGAGGGTATAGCCTAGAAGTAAAGTACTAGGCCTAGTATGAGCCAAACTCAGGTTTGAGTCCCAGTATTTTAAAAAGCAAAGCCTCAAGCCAAGCATAGTGAAGCATATCGTTAGTCCCAGCACTTAGGAGGCAGAGACAGGCCAATCTCTGTGAGTTCAAGGCCAGCCTGGTCTATATAGCAAGTTCCAGGCCAGCTAGGGGTACAGGGAGACCCTGTTTCAAAGACCAAAACAAAGAGAGAAAAAAGCCTCAGATACCAGCAGAGACTCTGTTACCTAACTGTAAGACTAAAATTCACTCAGAAGTACCTAATACACACCAGGCCTCAGTGAGGGATAAAAGTGACACAGAATATAGACCAGGGCTCTTTTGGCTTGCATTATTGTTGAAGTATAAGCATGATAAGTCACACACAGTATTATATAAATACCCACAAGTCTTTGATCGCATCATCACTCTCTGACCCCCAACATTTACTCTCTCATTTCCCATCATCCTGAAGTCTCTCTTAAGTATCAGAATGCGCTCCTTCAGAATATGCTCTACGGACCTGCACGGATCCCTGGCAACTCTGAAAAGTTTCTTTAGCTCACAAACACTGCTTACTGATGTTTTATCCTGTCACATTGCTTGTTCCCACATCAAACTGTGACCTTGCAGACTGGAGATGTATTTAGCACACCCTGGTATCCCTAGCACTTAATACAGTGTATGACAAGAACAAAAACAAACAAACAAAAATCTGCCAAATAAATGATATTTCTAGAATCTCTTATTTTAACAAGAATTGATTATTTGGTCGCATTTTCTTTTTTAAGCTTCCAATATTTTTTAAGTGCAATTTTTGAATATTTAATCTTTTTATGAACGTGCACTTTTTTTTTTTTTTTTGGTTTTTTTGAGAAAGGGTCTCCCTGTAGCCCAAGCTGTCCTGGAACTCACTATGTAGACCAGGCTGGCCTTGAACTCACAGAGATCTGGCTGCCTCTGCCTCCCGAGTGCTGGGATTAAAGGCGTGCACCACCACGCCCAGCTCAATATTTTTTTATGTGTTTATATATGCATGTGCATGCATACACACGTGTGCTGGTGTGTGGAGGCCAAAACTCAAGGTCAGGTTTCTTCCTCCAAACACCCTCCCGCCTGATTTTTTGAGATAATGTCATCTCTCACTGAATAAGGAGCTCACTGACTCAGACTGACTGGCTGGCTAGAAGCCCAGGGATCCTCCTGCCCCACCTCCGACACCAGGGTTACAAGCACAGGCCACCATGCCTGTTTTTCTGTTGGCTTGTTTTTGTTGGTTTTTCGTTTGCTTTGTTTTCATTTTTGTTTTAATGTGAGTTCCGGGGGTCCTAACTCAGGTCCTCAAGCCTGTGCAGTGCTTCACCAGCTCAACCATCTTTCCAGTCCTATTTAGTCACAGCTTTCAAAATCTTTAGTTCAATCACTAATTAATTCACCTTACTCTCAAGTTTTACATCTATAAAATAATGGATTATCACACAAATCGAAAATGAAAGGATATACTAAAACATATGTAAATGTTAATTATATCATCAAAAATCATACTGATCAGCTGGAGCACGCCATTCCTGAGCCCTATGCACCTGGTCTTCAGACACAAAAGTCAGAGGACTCCTTTAATGTCTTCTTGTTGTTATATATTAAACAAATCATTTGACAGCTTACTGATAAATGTGCAACATATAAAAAAAGAATTACATTTTCTGTTTATGGAATCTCTGTAGCAATTGAAGAAACCAATTTGTTCATCAATTGGTATCAACTTTTCACACTAGCTAGACAAAGTACCAACCACAGAAGGTGTGGATGGCGATAACCTTAAGGCTCTGCTATCCTCACTGTCACCTCTGCTTCCAAAATATATTTCTTCAAATGGTATTCAATCCAGAGACCCCCAATACATACAGTTCATGTGTAAGACACTATTCAAGAGAGAGAGGGAGGAAGTGAGCCCAAGCTCCAGTAGATTTAGACAATATTATGTTGGAAAGATAATACAGAATTCATCACTGGTGGAATGGAAGCTGTTAGAACCAAAGGTAGTGACAGAACTGGTTCATACCTGACACCATGATTTCAGACACAAGCCCACGCTGACACTCTGTGTTGTCATCTTCCGATGCTCCGCCCTTTGTTAAGTTGTCCAATGGTGTTACCACATTACTTAGATCAGTATTATTGCCTGTTGAGGGCCAAAATATTCTGTTAGTTTAGCTTTTCCATTCCTAGGACTTGGATTTAATTTACATGTATAGCACTCATTGGTTGTGAGTTTAGACTCATTCTTTTAATAAGAAGATGGGCCAGGTTTAGTGACTTGGAAAATCTTACCAACTTTCACTCAGTAGGGAAAAAAAAAAAAATTGGGACTCTTTTTGGTTGGTTTTTTTTTTTTTTTTTTTTTTTTTTGAGACAGGGTATCCCTATAGCCCTAGCTGGCCTAGAACTTGCTATGTAAACCAGGCTGGCTGAGTGCTGGGATTAAAGGTGTGCACCACCACGCCTTGAAAAATGGGACTCTTTTTAAATTAAAAAAAAAAAAATCACATCCCAAATTCCTTAACATAATTAGCTCATGATTATAGGTGACCATAACTATAAAGGCAGTGAGAGGCTGGCTCTCCCCAACCTGTCTTCCATATAGAACTTGCTATGTAAACCAGGCTGGCTGAGTGCTGGGATTAAAGGTGTGCACCACCACGCCTTGAAAAATGGGACTCTTTTTAAATTAAAAAAAAAAAAATCACATCCCAAATTCCTTAACATAATTAGCTCATGATTATAGGTGACCATAACTATAAAGGCAGTGAGAGGCTGGCTCTCCCCAACCTGTCTTCCATACTTACTTCCTCCTCTGGCTTGCTTTCATATTTATTATAGCCAGTTTTAACCACATTTTTAAATGTGAAGGGCATAAGAAAGCCACATTTTAATACACGCACCCACCACCCCTGAAGAGGAGGCAGCAGATTCTATAAGGCAACACTTCTCTACACTGTGCTCTGCAGACCTCTGGGTCTCATGGTACAAACTCTGCAGGACCGAGGCTCCTGTCATTACAGTAGAAAGCTCTTGTTTGCTTCTTTTCCCCATATTCACGTTCACATTGGTACAGCAAAGGATTGGTGAGTGGGACTGTGATGCTATAGTGCAAATCAAGGGAGTTACACTGAAGTTCAGCAGAAGCTGAGCCCCTAACATCCACTCTGCATTCACATGCCAGCTGTGTGCCCAGCTTGCGATGACACAAGGTTTGTTCTTGGATCTTTAATATTCTGTATAACAAAATAAGAAATACACACAAAAGGCTTCCGTCCCAAGCCAATTGTGAGAGCTGCCTACAGGAAAAGCACATGAGTGATTTTTGAGATGTGAGCTAAGATTCGCCTTTTCTTCATTTCACACGACCATCTGAAAAAATGGCTGACAGGCAAACTGTGCTATTAAGGCCTGTTGAGCAAGGCTTGACTCAAAAACGAATGAAGTGAGCCCATCACTTTCAAGGAAAGCAACTGGCAGTTGTTTGCGAATGTCAGATTTCTCATAACAGGTAGGGCCTGCATAGTCCTGGTAGAGTAGCAAAACAGTAATATCCCATCAAAGCTCCTAATAGCATTCAAAAGGCTGTTAAATGATGCTCCTTCTGAGACCACATCTGCTTCACAGCCTTCAACCAAAACAACACAGAAGAGATTTAACTGAGGAGCAGATACGAGACTCCAGCTGCCATCTGTTCACCCAGATCTAAACACAGAAATGTAAAACATTGCTCCTCTTCTCGTTATATATTCTTCGATTTGGAAAATAAACTATTTAGGTACTGTTATGAAATGTGTTATGCTAATAAATAACAGGTTTATTATTAATATCATTACAATTGAGTTTTTGTTTTAATTTTCAATATAAGAATTAATAAATAAGCAAAAAACTCTTTGGGGTTCTTTTTTAAAGTTACATTTATTTATTTATTTTGCGTGTGTGCACATGAGCCAGTGTGAGCGTGGAGGTCAGAGGGTAACTTGCAGCATCTGGTTCTTTCCTTCTACCACGTGGGTCCCAGGGATTAAACTCGGGTCATCAGGCTTGGTGAGAGGTGCCTTTGCCCGTGGTCCTCTTTGGGGTTCTTAATAAGTCTTTTAAGAGTGTAAAGGAGTTCTGAGTCTAAGAGGTGTGAAGCTATTATCCTATGGCAACAAACTAATAGAAAAAAAATTAAACTGAAAATTCCACTATCCAAATCCTGTCCGTGACCACTCATTGTTACCAGCCTGCCGCCTAACATATTTATGCCATGCCTACCAAATAAATACGCACTTTTTAAAAAGGCTTAATAAATTATAAGTTTTTTTGGCATATTGTGGTAGGAAGATATCAAAAGATGAGTTCATACATGCCTACGTAGGGCGTGCACTGAAGGCAGACAGGGTACATATCACACACCTTGCCCTCTCAGCTGTAGCCTGTAGTGGGTGTATCATGAGCCTTTTCAGGGTAGATTTCCCACACTCGTTTGATACTGTAAAGTTATTTCTAGAAAGGCCTTAATTTTTCTTATTAAGACCCAACACGTGGGAGGGAGATTATATTTTACTACCTCTAAAATTGAGGGCATAAAACTTCTAAGCAAATGTCTCTCAACACGGTGAGGTGGTAAAACACTAGCACTTACTTCAGCCTACTGCAAACGGGGGAGAATGTGAAGCCTAAGACCTTTACAATTAGAAGTCAATCTAATTTACCCTGTAATAAGAAACCTGAAACTCACCAGGATCAAGGGTTGCAGAAACCCAAGGACAAAGCACTCCTAAGGACATGGGATCATTTAATAAAACAGAACATTAAAATCACCAAAAGCAGAGCCATGCCTGCACTACCATACTCCAGAGCCCACGTAAGGTGATTTAGCTGTGTCGGGTGCTGTATTACCGGCCAGTGTCTGGTGACCCTCCAGGGAAAGGCACGTTTTCCCATCCTGAGCTGTCATAAAACCTTCATGACATGAACACTGGGCAGCTCCGAAGCTCCCTTGACAAACGTGTTCGCAGCCTCCATTCTCATGTAAGCAGGGATCTGCACCTAACAGGAAACAGAGAAGGCACAGATGGGTTTAGAGATACGGAGGGTGTTGCTGATGCAAATCAAAGCCTACGCCTTTCGGGAGAAGTCAAGTCATTCAAAATGGAGGATGCAGCAAGCACTCTCAGGGGAGTTCATACAAGCAGTCACTGACTCTAAGACAAGCTAAGAATGTTAGTACTTTATGAATATTTGCTGAGCATGGCTAGCAGTCTAGTTTTAAAAGCTCCTTCGTCAGACATAATTCCTATTTCCCGACTCATAATCCAGTCAAACCGAGAGGAAGAAAAGCCACCGGCTGCCGCTCACTAGCTGGCAGTGAGAGGTGTGGGTAGACGTTTCCATTGCAGAAATCTAAACTGCCTAAATAAAATTACCGTGTGTGTGTGTGTGTGTGTATGTGTGTGTGTGTGTGTGTGTGTGTGTGTGTGTATGAATGTATTGCCTGCAGTATGTAAGTGCACTTTTGTCCTGCAATGCCTGAGGTCAGAAGAGGTCGTCAGATCCCCTGGAACTGGAGTTACTGCCGATTGTTAGCTGCCCCGCGGATGCTGAATATCAAACCCGGGTCCTCTGCAAGAGCAGTCAATGCTCTTAACCGCTGAATCATCGCTCCAGCCCTATTTTATTTTTGAGTCACAAAATATAAACAAGGGGCTGGAGCGATGGCTCAGAGATTAACAGCACTGGCTGCTCTTGCAGAGGACCTGGTTTGGTTCCCAGCACCCACATGGAGACTAACAACCAGTTCCAGGGAACCTGACACCCTCTTCTGGCCTCTGTGGGCATTGCACGACACAGGTGCACTTAGCATACATGCAGACAAAACACTCTCACACATTAAATAAACAAAGTAGTCATTATATATTTTTTTAAAAACCTCTAAATTGCTTACCCTTAGTGCCTATAACTCGAGGGTCTTTGAAATGTAGCAAGGAAGTAAAAGGAAGAATGCAGCCAGTGGGATAAAGCACAAATTATTCAAAACACCATATTAGGGAGGAAATTTAAATTACGAAAATACCAAGCTATCTGATGAAAAAAAGTAACAAAATCGCCAATGCCCCCACTGCCTGCCAGCACTGGTTAAAGCAGCCACCGTCTCCAGTGCAGAGAGGCCTGCAGCCTTCTTCGGTGTACCTGGTTTTGCCAGTGGATGGACCACAAGCAGTGATGAAGGCTTCAGCATGCCGCCGCGGAGACGTACCCTGTTCTCGCCAGTCCTCTTGTTCACCCTTATTACCGATGATATAGTCAAATCTGAGAACCACAGGTGATCCTCAAACACAGCTACCGCAAAGGGCTGACCTGGAAGCAACCAGATGGCCATTAAAAACAGATTGGTCCTTCTCACAGCTAGTTATTCACAAGAACCCGCAAGATCACGCGCTACATCATGGGCAGCTGCTCCCTACACCTGTTGAAAGCACCAGGGGAGCCAAGGCCGGAAGGTTGCCCACTCATCCCACAGACTTCAACTTGAAGTTTCTTGCTGCTCTTGGCTTTAGCTTCCCTGTCACTTGAACAGCTGTCACTAAGCAGCAGAATGAATTCACAAGTGCATAAAAGGAATTTTTAAAATTCTGAGGTAGGTGAATCAGCACATCTCCTATTCGCCATTCTACCACATTTCCAGGTGTTGGCCTCTCCTTTCCTCTCTCCCCTTACTCGTTAGTCCAGGGCCTGTGCTTGTGACCCACCTTTCCTAGGCTCTCCCAGGCTGCTTCTGCCAACAATGGCTGCATCTCCGACATATTCGTTCACCACACCGCACTGTGCCTCAGCCTATTCATATCCTGTCACTACATATTGCTCACACCCCTCTAGCTTCTCTGTACATCCTGCTGCGCAGAAATGAGATTTTTGAAAGTGCCATGTATTATCTGCTGCCTGCATTTCTGTAGCTCCCATCAACCCTTGAGTGGGCTTCCTCCGGAGTCCTCCCCAACCAAACCCACCAAATCCATCAGGCTGCTGGAACTACAAGGACTATAAGCATGAACAACAGGAGAATGTAGTCACTCACTGCCTCAAGCAGTTGGACACTAAGGCAAGAGGGCATGCATTTGGAAGCTTTAATCAAGGTCACAATCCCCAGGTGAATGGGTTTGGCAGATTGAAGTTAATATCTCCCTCTTGTGGTAGAAAACTCAAATGATTTGTCCTAGTTACAGGGCCTCTTCTACCTATCAGGATCCCTAACATGCATTTCAGTCTCTAGGCCTTTGTCTCAGAGTAAAACTATACGTATAACGAGGGATACTTTCCCATAACTATAGTTATTTTTATTGTGGTTAAAAAGCACACGAGACAAATTTTACCACCTTAGCCTAAGTGTGCGCCATTTCTCCAGCCCCTGGCTACAATGTTTTAAAGATATTTTTGAAAGTGCATGATCTTGCATGCACAATCTGAAAATACAGCAAGAGAGAGCCCTTTCTTGGTCAGTCTTTGCCAGTGTCATCAACTGCCATTTATTAATGTCTAAAAGTGAGGCCGTCACTGTTATGGAATAACAAATTTAAAAAGCATAAGAAATGATAAGAGCTGGATCAAGCTTTTATTTCTAAATAAATTCAGAAAAGTTAAAATTTTCATTTTCATTTGTGAAAACTTGGGGAAAGAGAAGTGATTATTCAGTTCTACTTTTTATCAATATTTTAGTGTTCAGGCGATTATTATACTTAATGTTTCTGGAGATATATGTCTCTCTGTTCTTTTCTCACCATTTGTTAAGTGTATACACAGGGCTAAGCATATTTTGGACTTAACACTCATTAGCACTCAAGCAAGATGAAGAAATCAGGAGCTGGAGAGGTGGCTCAATAGTTAAGCACGAGTACTGCTCTTGCAGAGGACCGAAGTTCAGTTCTTAGGGCACACGTAGGGCAGCTTATAATTGCATATAACTCTATCTCCAGGGATCCAACACCCTCTTCTGGCTTCTGTGGGCACCTGCCCTCACCTGCGCACAGTCTCTCTCTCTCTCTCTCTCTCTCTCTCTCTCTCTCTCTCTCTCTCTCTCTAGATTAATGTTTCTGGGCTTTTGGGTTTATTATTCATAAAAGACATATCTTTTCTAGTTTTTTAAAAAGATCTATTTATTTTTATTTTCTGTATATGAGTGTTGTGCTTGCATGTGTGTAAGTGCACCATGTGTGTGGTTGTCTGTGGAGGCCAGAGGGTTTCTCAGTGCTGGTATCTTGGAGCTGGAGTTAAGGACAGATGTTAGTGGCTATGTGGGTACTGGGAATCCAGCCTGGATTATCTGGAAGAGCAGTAAGTGCTCTTAACCACTGAGCCATCTCTCTCTCTCTCGTATATAATTTTAAAAATAATTTTAAAAAATCTTCTTTAAAAAAAAAAAGATGAATATATCCACTCCAAAGCCTCACCTACATCATTCTGGGCAAGCCTTCGGCGTTTGGAACCATCCAGATCGGCCATTTCGATCACAGACTGCTTGGTATCACACCAATACAAAGTGTCTGTTAAGTAGTCAATAGTGATTCCACTAGGCTCCAACAGATCAGAGCTTACTATCACCAGCCGACCAGAGCCTTGAAGGGAAGAGCTTTCAATTCGAGGATTTCTCCCTGTATCTGTCCAGAATAATCTCCTTTAATAAGGAAAGCACATAAGTTAGATCTGCAAGAAAAAAATTTCCATTCTTTTCAATCACTGAAAATAAATTTTATATATCTATGTATCTATAAGTCAATATGGCTTAATATTTATTTGACCTATTTAGAGATGAGTTCTCATTTTTTAAGCCTGACTCCAGAGTAATTATCAGTTACTGCCAACACATTTCCAGAGATTGCTGGAAAATAGATCAATTGGCTTGAATCACAGCCAACTTCTTTTCAAAAGGAAATTGAATATACTTAAGACAAAGAATGTCAACAAAGTTACTAACAAAAATAGAAAACCAAAGGTGACGGATGTATGCTAGTCACTCTGGTTCTGCGGATCTGAGCGAATCTCACAGATCATCTTGGCTTCTGGTGCTCTGACCACCTGAGGTCTTCACAAAACTTTGAACTCCAGCACCTCAGACATGAGCAGCGGCACTAGCTTTGCAGAAAAGTTACTTCTTTTTGTAAATACTTACTTGGCCTTTGGATGAACAGCAATTCCTCGTGGCTGAAAGACATTCTCCTTGATGATTATTTGACGGTTCTTTCCGCTTAAATAACTGCCTTCTATGAGAGATTTCCTAAAATAATGTAATATGGGGGGAAGAGTTGTTAGATCATCATTAATTTTCCAAAGAGAACTATTCCTTTCCCTTCATTCTGAAATATAAAGATAGTCTCTTTCTTGTTTCTGTCACACACACACACACACACACACACACACGCACACACACACATTAACATGAGCATGCTCTCCACACAAAAATTCTATTGATTTAAAACACAAGTAACTAGTACCCCAATATTGATCCAGATACAAGACACGGTCAAGGGAGATGTGTCAGTGTCCAGGCAGAGACAAAGCCAGCGCTGTATAAATATCCAGTGTCTCTCTTCCCCACCTCTGATCTCCTGCTGGAACTCAGGGCAGCCAGAGGTTCAGTGGGTCCCAGATCAGGAAGGGACAGGCCAACATAATGACAGCATGTGGAGATTCACCCTTCAGTGTCTCTACACACTGTCCTAGGCAGTCACCCTTTCTCATGGCTTCACTTCCGTGGGTTCAGTTCCCTTGCATCTCTCCCCTAATGGGAGGAGAGGAATTCTGAGGCCACTTGCTTAGGACAGGGTAATAAAATGATCAACTCTGATCTCACTGTTACATTTATAAATTTAAACAGTTTGAAGCGAGAGTTAGGCAATGAGAATTGAGCTCCCCATGGTGCTAAACCTAAGCGATGTGCTATTCTCTGTTCAGTTCAGCTGGGAGGCAAAGCTCAGACTTCTGGGCAGGTGAAAGGAAAGCTAGCTAAGACCCAGACAACTTCAAATTCATTGTGATCCTCTACAGGAAATACTCAACCTACTACTGTAGCATAGGAGTTAGCCTTCAAGAGCCCACAAAAGGATAAAAAAAGAGTGCATCTTTACCTTAGTTCAACTACTTTAGGAAGCAGGATTCATTAGCATTACTAACAGCACAGAATTATCAAGGAGTCATGTTCATTGAGTTTGTCTTTTCCTCAACCAATACAGCCACCTCTGTTTGACTTCACTGGCTAAGAGTGCCCATGTAATCTAATACCATAGGATTGGAATCTCAGTTATTTAAATCAAATCTACAGCTAATATCAATGTTTTTAAACTATAAACCTCTCATTTCCAGACAAATTAAAGGTTTTTAGCAGCTGTCTGTAGAAGGGAGAGGACTTACGAAGGGCTTGTTAAGTCATAGTGCACTAGAGAAGCTGAACTGTGGCTCTGCAGGGCCCAGCTGCATCCATCTACCTCCTGAAGGCAATGCCTAAGCGTTGGACACCAGGATACTACTAATCAGGTGCTGTGAAAATTAAAGGCACCTCCCGAATGCAGGGAAATAAGACCTCACTACCTTAGAGGCCCCGAGAGATGTTGACATCTGTAGTTCTGATCAACACTTACACTTCTGAGAACAGCAAGCAAGCTCTGTCATTATCCACAGCTGACATCAAAAACATCCTTTCAAGTAAGTTCAATGAGGAGAAGGCTGTTATTATGATAGTTATAAGGGTTGCAGCAGAAGGTGATTGAAATTTGTTACATGACTCTGGATCTGTCCCATTTTGATGCTGAGTGGAGATGATACCTCTCTCTCTGATGGTTCTGTGGTATTGTGGGTTGAACCCAGGGCCTTGCACATGCTAAGCAGATGCTCTAACACAGAGGAGCACCAACCACAAGCTCCTCTCTGTGATTACTCAGGGAACAGTCTTAGGAAATGACCATCTCTGAATTCTAACCCTACCACTTGTTCACTACGCAACCCTGGGAAAGGGGCTACATTTTCTTAATCTTCACATGACAGTTAATATAACAGTATGACGAACAGAAACCCCTTAGCACAGTATCTTGTGCTCAGAATTACTGAATAGCTAAATGCACAAACCATATAGGACTGAAGGTTAAGCAGGAAATGAATGAGTAGATGAGGACATAAGCACGACACAGAGGGAGCGCCTTGACAACCACCCCACACCACACATCCGCCTCATTGTTGAGAACTTGCTTGTTATAACCAAAAGAGATTTTTCTGGGCATAGGACACCTGCTTATGAGCACAAGAGTCTGTTCCCTGGGACTTTTCTCTCTGCGTTAGAATTGCTGTTCTCCCAGATGTGAAACCCTAATTAGTTCTCTTTTTCCTTCAACATGACCGCACAGATTAAAGGTCATAGTTTAGTCAACTAGTTTAATGAACAAAATATATATATCTAATCAAGGTTTATCTGAGAACCATCGGTTTTTTTTACCCAAGCTTTATCTACATAGCACATAATAATTAAAAGTACCAGACTGGTGGAACTAACCTTATTGAATGTTTAACATCCATACTTTGAGACCTATACTAATGTGGTCAGAGGGACTTAAAGGACAGTTTTTGCCCCTTGCCCTCTAAGTTCGACCAAGTTCCAGGGGGCTATGGAACATCTTTCAAAATGTCCTGTAACTGTGGTGAGTGACCTGTCCTCTTGTTCAGGGAGGCTATGGAGACCCCACCAGATGGACTTGAACCAGTATCCAATCTACAAAGAGGAGGGTCAACTCAGAGGAAACATCTCCTCCATGCTTCCAAGTAAAGCCAGCCATGGTCGAGCAGGACCTTTGA